CGGAAGAGGAATGCCCAGAGAATGAAAGCTCGACCTCCCTGCTGTCAGCAGGGTTGCTGCCACCCCATCTTCTGTGTCAAGCTCAGGAGAGCCTAGATCTCTCAGAGGACCTTCCAGACCTGTCAGTAATGACAGTTCAGTACAGCACCCTTGAGGACGACAGTGGAAAACTAGACTCAATAGGATCTCAAGAGGAAAGCAGTGTCCCTGCTAGTGTTTCTCTCCCTCTGATTTCGAAGACCGCCGAGTGTCATGGCAGCACCACCTTGAGCCTTAGGCAGGGTTCAAGCTGTAGTGCAAACCAAGAGCCATGGCCGTCAGCGACACTGACGCGAGAGTCTTTGGGAATCACGGGGATCAGCAATGCAGAGCAGTCAGTTGATGCTGCATTGAAGCTCCCCAGAGAAAGCCAGATGCCCGAAGTGGTGCTGTCGAATACTGGCTCTGTGACAGCCCTTTGCTTGGGGTTGGAGAAGGAAGCCAATGCCCCACAAGCCTTTCTCAGTAATGAAGTTGTATCAAGGCACAAGGATTCTGCAGTGAGCGTGTCACCGGATAGTTTGGAGTCTGCCTGTCTGGAGCAGTCCAGGGAAGAAGCGATGTCTGAGTCAATTGCCAGTACTGTACCTGTGTGTCAGGAGGACTCGCAGCCAAAAGGAGATGAATTGGAAGGAGAGAAGATTGGAGGAGTGTGTTTGGACAAGGAAGAAATTGAGAAAATTGAGCAAGTGGCAAAGCAGGCAGTTTCCAAGGTCGTTTTGGCAGCAACTGAGGCAGTGCTGTCTGGTTCTGCAAGGGATGTTTCCACTCGGAGCTGCCAGCCCACTGCCAGCCAAGTTGAGAGACCTCGGGAGGTGGCAAGTGCTGTTCCCTCTGATCAGATGCTTGCGGAGGAAGCTGCGGTAGCCAGTGAGAACATTGCTGTGAGGAGTGGTGCTGTGGTACTGACATCCCCACGGACAGAGAAACGGGATCGGAGTGTGACAGATCCCCGCTGTTTAACACACCGCAGTTTATCCAGCCCTGTTCAGGGAAATCCCAAAGACTGTCAGAAAAGGAACCTTGTGTGCAGCAAGTCCCAAGGAGCTGATGGTACCTCTGTGGGCAACCACGGAGGGGCACTGGAAAAGTCGCCTTGGGTTATGGGGGACTCTGGGTGCAGCACATCCGCATCTGAAGGTGGGGCAAGTGTGGAGGACCCCTTGCAGAAGACAGTGCTGTCTGATGCATCAGGCCAGCATTCGGACTCACGGAGCATGTCTGCAAACCGAGACACGTCTACTGAGGATTGCTCAGTACCAAGTGGAAAACCTACCCTAAAGCTACCTGACGGGAGCCAAGTGCCATACAGTAATGGGATACTGAGGGAGGATGCTCCAGACTTGCCTCATGAGTGTAGCAGGGCGGAAGGGTCGGATGGAGATAACTTAAAAGGTAAGGGATTTGAAAATCTTCCTACAAAAAGGTGGTGAGCAAGCTCACCTAAAAATGTGCTGTAACCCTCCTGCTTCAGAACATGTTCAGATGAATCCTCTTTGTGTTCAAGTTCCCCAGTGGATGAATATTTAGCCCTTGTGTGCAGGTGGGTATGGATTTGCTTT